TTTTAAAAACTAAAAAAAAAAATTTTTTGGGGGGGGGGAGGGGGGTCTACAGCCCCCCCTAAATCCGTCCCTGCAAAAGCGTAATGCTGAGAGAATATGATTCTGTCTCTGGTTCCTTGGTTGAGTTGGTTCTGAGTATTGCTTTCACTTCAGCAATGATATCCTTCTTCGTTCGGCGTTAGTGATAACATAGTAACAGTTAATAAGTGAAAAGAGAAAAAAGGCAACTTAATGACACGCTCTATACTGCTTGGATGATTATTCAGATATTGTTTATGTGCCTAAGTCGTTACTGTTTGTAACCGTGCCTTCTGGGTGATGCACTTACAGTGTTGATATGCATTAAATTTTTTGAATTCTAGACTTTACCAGTTAAGGTTGATGCAATCATTAGAAATGGAAAATATTTGTGTTCCAATGGGCTTGATTTCAGTACTCATTGATTTTTATTAGCTGAATTGCTTTGTGGGTTTAGTAACGATTGCTAATACTTGTTAAAAGTAACATGGGCACCATATCATAGCCATGATACAATAGTTTTAATATGCCATGTCAAACTCGCGTTTCAAAGTTTCTATGAAACTTGTAATAGTACGGATTGTGTCCATTAAGCAAGTGATGGAGGAACAAATGGAACCAAAACTTAGTAGTTACCAGAATATGCTTCCTTGAACTATGTGATGATACCGTTCAATCTGTTTCTGTCTGTTCGATTTTATCATTTTATTCACTGATGGGATCTTAAAAATGAACATGGTTCTTGATGTACATAATAAGTACCCATCTCGGCTTCTAAGTGATTCATTCCATGGTAATATGGGCCACCAATGGTTACTTAAAGTTCTATATGTTGTTTTGATGAGCAATTGTTGTGGCTTTTCTATGGTACCACTTATTTAGAAGCGAAGTGGGCTCACAATTTAAACCAAACAGCACTTAGGTCACTAGAATGCTGCAAGGGAAAGTATATTCTCTTTAACAATCTGTTTCTCTTACAAGTGCTCGAGAAAACCATCCTAAGTCTCCTCCTATTTACACTAGTCGTAGGAGCATTCTTGTTAATGTATGTACAAGAATCCCATACATATATTCTGGACTAATTCATTTGATGTGTATTCAAGAATCCTAGAGATTTATAATCCGTTTCGATCTAATGTATATAATTCTTGTGTACCAACATTCATTAATTTCAAGATTCACGTGTCTCTTCAAAGTTCGTTGGTAGGTAATTATTGTGGACTACAAAGTTCTAGGTATCCTCTTCAACATTCACGACAAGTCAAGCTTAAAGTCCAAATTCCATGTTCATTGCTAATTCATCGCTGTCATGCTGTTGCAATCATTTAAGAACTTAGGGTGTGTTTGATGGATATTCTTGAGGAAAGAACGTATTTTAAATAGTAATATGATGGGAAATATGTGGTTAAAAAGTAAGGAAAGTATTATTTTATTGAAGAATGTGTGGTTGAAAATGAGTTTTGAAATAATGTATTTTGAAAGAATGTGTACCAAACAGGGACTTAACCAGACAAAGTATCTCAAGAAACTTTAACATCTGCAAAAACTCTGATCAAGATTCTCCTGGTATTAGGTTTACAGGAGATACAAGCACTATTACCAACAGATGCAGTCAGTAGTTGCCTCGTTTGAATCTGTTGCCGGATTAAGCCATGCAGCACCATTTGCAACTTTGGCTTTAAAAGCCATGTCAAAACATTTCGGGTGTTTAAGGAATGTCATTACTGATCAGCTGCAGTTCATAAAATCTCATGGTCCACTAAGTTATGAGAGGGACAGGGCTCAATTTGGGAATTCTGGAGGCGGGATTCAGGGCCAAAGACCATTTCACAATGTTGGATTCATGGCTCAACCTGTATGGAGATCTCAAAAAGGACTTCCAGAGCGAGCTGTTACTGTTCTGCGCGCCTGGTTGTTTGAACACTTTCTACACCCGTAAGTTTTTATTTTTGCCACTTAGCTGTAGATTTCCCTTCATTTAATGTTCCCTTAAGCTTAACAGAAACTGTTGCTGTTACAGTTATCCGACTGACACAGACAAGATGATGTTAGCCAAACAGACTGGTCTCACGAGGAACCAGGTGCACATCTACGTAGAGTCAATGTTTTTTTCCCTTACAAGATTCGTATAACGTATTATTTAATGTAAATATCATCCTAAAACCATATGTATAAATGGATCAGGTCTCAAACTGGTTTATCAATGCAAGAGTAAGGCTTTGGAAGCCTATGGTAGAGGAGATACACATGCTTGAAACGCATCAAACCCAAAAATCTTCGCAAAGAGAGGAACAAAGTGCCAACAGGCTAAACGATAGTTTGTCTACAAGTTGTCCGGTTGAATGTGAAAATGCATCCACCTCGATACCAAGAATTGAAACATTGCCATCAAAACTCACTGGGAATATTGACTTAACTGGAACTCCTATGGGCAGCGAGGGGCTGTCGACTTTTCCATATGATAATTTCTCACATCATATGGGAATTGGCATGAGCAGTACTGCTGGCGCAAGTGGCGGTGTTTCCTTAACTCTTGGTCTCCATCAGAATGTAGGTTTCTCAGAAACCTTCCCCATAAATGGTGAAGGGTATGTGGAGAATGGCTTTGCAGCACAAAATCGACAGTTTGGTAGGGACATTATTGGAGGACAACTTCTGCATGATTTTGTTGGGTGAACATGATCTTTGTTGGATGATTTGATCAGGTGAAAACACAGTAGAAATTAGCCGTTAGTGTAATTGTTAAATCTTAGTATGGTTTGGAAACCTCGTTAATTTGCAGGAGACCAAACTGGTTGATCGAATTCTTTTTTTTTTTAATTTGTCGAAAGATGCTTTGCTCTTATTATATGAGCTAGGCCTTGGCTTTAGGAACGTTGGAATTTATGTACTCTCATTTCCAAATTATTGATTTCCCATAAAATCTAAATGGTTATTCTTATTTTCTTGGTGATTAAATTCTCTACATATTTTAATTTTCCTTTCTTTTGTTGTGCTAGATACAAAGGGCTCATTTCAATTTTGGCCAATGAATTTTCGTGATTACTCAATTGGATAATTTATTATTGATCTTTTTAAGGTCTCGATGAAATTAATAAATTTCAATTTGCGTTCAACTCATTATGTTAGCTTTCGTCAATAAAATTAACATCTAACACATGCATGGACTTCATACATAATAAATTGTTGACAAGTATGAGAAGGTTAATATCAATTTTAAGCCTTTATTTGATTTAGCTAAATATCATATTTTAGTAGATTTATCGTCAATTATTTATCTGTATCGAGTGAATACTTTAAGAGCCCATTTGATGCCCATTTCCTGAAAAAATAAAAATGTATTTTGAAATAGTGATTTAATAGAGAATATTTGGTTAAAATAAGGAAAAAATTTGGATTTTCGTATAATATTAGTTTATGGAAGAACGCATGATTGAAAAAAAAAAAAAAGAGAAATAAATGTATTTTGAAAAAAATGAGAATAAAAAAAAGACTGATAGGATTAATCTACTCTATCAGAAGGAAAATGACAGAAAGGCTAATAGGTGTGTATGAGGCAGTAAATGATTCAATGAAAAAGTTAATTTTGTTTTAAGTTGTCCAATGATATTATGTTACGTGAAATTATGTCAAGATTTATGTGATTGATTATTATTTAAAACATGGTAATAAGTACATAACGTCCCCATCTTTCATTGCTATTGTGGAAAACGTCTATACCTTTTATTTATTTATTTTTTTTGGCATTTGCATCTTTCATTGTGCAAAAGATCATTTTCACTTATTTTTTCAATTAAAAATTATGAAATGACGAACATATCCATCTCTTTAAATAAAACAAAAACAAAAAGAAAAAAACTAATTGTAACCACAGTTCCTTTAAAAAAAAAAAAAGCAAATAAGTCAAATAAATTATTAAAAAGGTAATTAGTATATAATATCCATATCTTTCACCATTATTATGAAAAACGTCAATGCCTTTTTTTTTTTGTTGGCATTTTCACCTTAATTATACATTTGATTGCACAAATGATCATTTTTATCCAATTTCATCCAATTTCTCAATAAAAAGTTGTGAAATGATGAATATACTCTCATATTTAAATAAAAAAATATTTTTTAATTTCTCATTCTTTAATAATTTATTTGGGACTTATTTGCATTTTTTAATTTTTTCGAATTTTTAAATAAATTTAATTAGGATTTGTTTGCACTTTTTATTAAAATTTTTAAATAATTTATTGGGGACTTGTTTGCACTTTTTGAAAAATTGGGACTATAATTGCAATTAATTCTTTAGCTTTTTATTTAAATAGGAGGGTGTATTCGGCATTTCACAACTTTTTATTGAGGAATTGGATAAAATGGATAAAAATGATGATTTGCCCAATCAAATGTATAATAAAGGTGAAAATGCCAAAAAAGGAAAAGTATGTATGTTTTTCGCAATAATGGTGAAAGATAAGGATATTAAGTACTAATTACCCTTTTAATAATTTATGTGTGACTTATTTGCCTTTTTTTAAAAAAAATTGGAACTGTAGTTGAAATTAATTTTTTCTTTTTTCTTTTTGTTTTATTTAAAGAGATGAACATATTCATTATGTTATAATTTTTAATTGAGAAAATATGTGAAAGTGACCTTTTGAGCAATGAAAGGTGGAAAGAAGGGTGAAAATACAAAAATAAAATAAAAGATATGGACGTTTTTCATAATAACAATGAAAGATGAGGACGTTACGTGCTAATTACCATTTGAAATATTCCCTTGAGGACAATTACCAAAGTCCACCTAGACATTGTTTTGGGCTGTTAAGAGAATAATACTTGGCCCAATAACTGAAGAAAGTTATGGGCCAGTGGACACACGTCTTTGGACTTTGTGTTGTGCAAGAGAAACTCATGCAAAACAACCCATTAAACGAGAGAAATAGGGACGATAAAATGTGGGAAAATTATAATAATTCAGGTGTTTAAAGATTGGAATTCAAAATTCAGGGATCAAGTTTTATTATTCAAAAATCAGGTAATATAAAAACCCTAACCCTAATTTATCATTCTCACCCTCACATCTCTCTCTCTCTCTCTCTCTCTCTCTCTCTGCAAACTTGTCAAAACAATAGAGAAGAACAACATATTGGAACCACGATACTTCGTTGGTGTCACACAGCTACTCATTATACAATTTTCTAAAAATATAATCTACAAAATATATGTATATGTAAAATGAATGTACATATTTGATGGCGATGGGGTAGGTTAGAAGTTGAAAGATTTGCACAAGAACTCTTCGAATTCACTGAGCTACTGTTTTTGCTAATCTCTAATATTATGAATTTTCTTGGGAAGAAATGATGGAAACCGACGACCTCCTCCTCCATTGCCACCGCCTCCGTCACATTGCAAAACTGGAAATTGAAAAGCCAAAGTCTCCATGTTTTCTCCCCAGCACACACACACACACACCCACTGTGAGTATGTGATTACAACTTTTTATGTATCAAAAAAGAAAAATGTTATGCATCCCCAATGGGGATGCATCCTCAATCCATGTGGATGTAAATGATTGGTTAAATGATAGGTGAAATTAGATGACTTATTTAATTTCACTTATCATTTAATGCCACATAGACTGGGGATGCATCCCCAGTGGGGATGAATAGCATTTCTCATCAAAAAAAATCAAGAGAAGGGGTACTTTTCGACATGTTTTACGAGAAAGGGTCCTTGTGACTTTACTGTCCAATCTTAAGTTCTGAAAAATCTGCAAAAATCGCCAATCTTTCTTTTTAGATTAATGGCCTATCATCATAATAGTAATATTCTCGCTTACTTTCATTTTGAACAGCCTTTTAGTTTTCTTTTGGCCCTAAGTGAACCACCTTTTTGTAGAATGAGAATGAAAAATATAGTCATTATTGGGGCCCACACAAGAGATAGAAAATTTAAATTTAAATGTTGATGTGATGGATAACGGTCATATTTTTTATTTTAATGAGATAAAAAGGTGGACTAACTGGGAATGCTAGGGAAGCTTATATTGTGCTCTTAGCAATGCAATTCATACAATAATTGCCAAATGAGATGCCCAATTGTTTAATTTAGTCACTTTTGAGTGTTTGTTATTTTTTGTGCCACTTTTTTTTATTTTTTTTGGTAATTCGTGTCACTTTCTTTAATTTTTGTCGCTTTTTTGAGTTTGTCATTTTTTTTATTGTATGCCACTTTTTAAATTTGTGTAACTTCTTTTAATTTATGTCACTTTTNTAAACATTATAAAATTTAGCCCCTAATTGATCCTCATTCTTTTTAAAATTCATTTTTAACCACAAATTAATCAATAAAATAATATTTCACGTAAATTCAAAATTTTTCTTTATCTCGTAACCACATATTTTTCATCATATCCCATCGTAAAATGCATTACTTTCTCAATAATGTACATCAAACACGCCTTTAAGAATTAAATATTCATAATTCAAAGTCGGGTAACTATTTGTTAGCATGTGTAAGAACTCAGAGATGAACCAGATTTTTAACCTGTTAACCTCGCAAAAAAAAAAAAAAATTAAAATTAAAAAATTATTGTCTTAATTAATTATACCATTGGTTGGGAATTATACCATTTGATGAGAATGGAGCCTATTTCAAAAGTTTCTCCAAATGTTCCATGTCTAAGAGTTATTAAAAAGGAGAGAAATAGAGAGACATTATCATATACACCTCATCAAATCGTGATAATATCATAGACATCCTTTCACGTTTAAAAAATCACACCCTATATTTTATAAGTGCGAGTATTTCTTTCATCATGGTCACTTTTTAAGTCATATCTCATATAAAATTAGGTTGATGTACCTAAAATACCTTGTGAAGAAAAGATGATATTTTCAACCTATAACACGGGATTTTTTTTTTGGCTTTTTTCTCATAATTTGTGTTACTAACAGGTGAATTCTTTATTGTTAAAGATAGTTTTGCTATTTTATAATTTCTAACGAGGTTGTTTCTAGCGGTAAATGGTCGGTTGGTAAAGGTGAATGTGCTGCTCAATGTATGTACGACTTGCTACTAGTATGGTCGAGGCCCAAAACATATCCGAGGCTCATTGGCCGAGGCCCAACATTTATCCGAGGCTCATTGGCGCAGGCCCAACATATATCCGAGGCTCGTGAAGAAGCCGAGGCTCAAGAAGTAGCCGAGGCTCATGAAAAAGCCGAGGCTCATGAAGAAGCCGAAGCTCTGTGTAAGTGGCCGAAGCCCACATCATCGAAACAGTAGCCTCCTAACCATAAAAGAGCATCTTCCATATTCACTTCTCCCAAGAGATCTTCTACATAAAGATCTTATTTGGAATGATTAATGGGACCATTGTAATAAGTGTGTCTGTGTCTTGTCTTATTATTGTAAGAGCATTTAATGTTTTGTAAGGCTAGGAGAGTCAACTTGATAGCTAGGATTTGATGTCTTGGTCGAGGAGATGAGGCATCGTGTAAATTGATCCAAATGTCACTATTTCATTTGTAACATCTCGTGTCTTTGAGCTACTTTCACGTTTAGTTTCTGGAGTCATCTTGACCATTGATCGGCATTAACGTGTTGGATCAAGCTTACGTGTGTACGAGTGAGTCTGACATCTGTTAGCAACATTTTTTGGGGTCAACAGATTGACGCCA